TAATTCACCTTGATGAGATCCATCTGCTCACATGCTCTCTTACCTAAAATTGGTGTGAAATCTTGCTCTACTACAATAAAGTTGACAGAATATTTCTTTCCATTACTACAATTCTTTATATCTATTCTACGTTCTCCTAACGGATAAATGTTTGTAGCATTCCACATACACAAAACTGCATCTGTCTTCATCAGATTTGTCTTAGGTATCAGCTTTCTTGGAATTACATTTACACTGGCACCAGAATCTAATTGAAATTGTACACTGTTAGATCCTACTTTGAACTCAGTTAATACAAAATTTTCTTTAGAACATTGCTTGATTTGCCTAATATACTGCTTGTCCTCATCATCTGGTTCACTACTGTCATCTTCAGCAACATTATGGATTTTTTTCTTAGCAGCAAATTCTTTGTGCTTCACTTTTGACTTACATACCTGTGCAAAGTGATTTTCATTACCACACTTACTGCAGGTCTTGTCATACGCTGGACAGAGTTGCTTCTTCCATGGATGAGTTTTGCCGCAGAACTTGCATTCTTTCAGCTTCTTCTCACCTTCTGAGGAGCCGATAATCCTTTTCTTGATTATTTTCTTTGGTGCTTCATTCACTCTGTTTATTACTTCACTATTTCCTTCTTGAAATAATGACATCTGCTTCTGTGTAGCTTGGTGTGCAACACAAATCTTCATTGCATCATTGAATGAAAGGGTCTCTTCTTTAAAGAATTTCTCTCTTAGAGCTTCATCTCTGCATCCAAATACCAGCTGATCACAAAGGTGTTCTTCTGTCTTGTCACCATATCCACAATCTTTCACCATGTTCTTGAGTTTCGTGATGAAGGTATCGATGGTCATGTCTGCCGATTGTTGGCATCTTCTATATTTGTATCCTGATATTAATGTATTCTCTCTTGGGGCAAAATGACTGTCAAATTTCTGGAGAACATTTTCAAGAACTTGTGCAGGGTCAGCCTCACCTTCATTGGGTTTTGGGAAGTTGAAAGAATTATAAACTTCTATTAACCCATTCGCCACGGAATTATGTTCTGTCCTCTGTAGTTTTTGATGAATTTTGTTACCTACAGATGGCTCCACATGTACTCAGCCGGCAAGGAGTCTATTAGTAGGCCCTAGTTACCGACCCTGATTCTCCCATTCATTGAATTGGCGGGAAAAATAATACCATTGCTATCGATACTGTTATTATTGTTATTGATGTTATGATTATTAAATTGTCATTAGAATATTTTAGAAAATGAAATGATACAAAAAAACTTTTCCTAAAGTGAAGGGAAAGGGTAAACAGGTGAAATAGGTAGTTCTTGATAACTGGCTGTTTGGTGATTAAGAACTTGTGGAGCCATCTATGTGTAAATACAATAAATAAACGTGTCTCAAAGTGGGTATGGCATCTATTCTTGCCACGTGTGGCGAATGGGTTAATTCATCTCCTCCTACCGTCAGTAATATTGCGACTTTCTCCTCCTGTGTTCTTGTCTTGTAACCAGCTGCTAACATGTAGAGGTTAAACTTCTGCTTGAAATTCTTCCAAGCTTCATCCGTATCTCCCCTCAGTACAAGTTTGGTTGGCACAGACAGTCCGCCGGTCGCCATGCCGTCTCCTTGCTGCGCAGTATGACGATCTCCCAAAACTTATCTCGATTACGGCGTTCCCTCTTGTTGGCAGTAGTTATGGTTCTCTCTGCATCTTCCTTGATGATTATATTACATTTTTCGCTGTCACCATGTTTCGTTTAGTCGTTGTCTATGCCATAATAAGCATTCGGAGGCGAGGATAGACCAGACTCGATGTGTTGTGATTCTTCATTTCCTGAGAATAACAAGTGTGGGGAGCGGTTACACTGCTGTGGCTTACATAACAGAAAACGGGTCGGATATACTATCATAATTTGAGAATACCGGAACACCAGAGAGGACCATCTTCCTCATCCTCTTCCTGTTCATCTTGCCTCATTTTTCCCTCCTTGATTATTGGCTACTACTGTCATCAATATCTTGCAGTTTTGAACCTCATTGATTTTAGTGCCAAATGAAGTTAGTGAAACTCAGCTCCTTATAGCTGGTGCCTGAAATATAGCACCGGGCAAAAGTGTCCTTCATACCTCTGTGCTAAAATGGCACCAATAGCTCCCTTACTGGCATCATTAAAGATGTACTACGTCCGTGAGACGTCAGGAGACCTCAACACTGGTTCCTTTAGCAGGCTGATCTTCAGAACTTCAAATACTTCCTCTTGTTCACTTCCCCAAATGATTGATTGTTTCTCTGAGGTCACCTTTGTCAGAGGTTGGGTCTTTTGGGCATATCTCTATCAATCATCGATAATACCCACTTAGGCCAAGAAATCGTCTTACTTCTTTTACTGCAGCTAATTCATCTAGTCCAGCTTTGGCTTCCCCATGTCCAATATTGTTGGAACAATCGCATCTTCTTCGGACTCGCCTTTAGTCCAGCTTTTACCAACCGACTCAGTGCTTCCTTCAGCACCTGTAGAAGCCGGTCTGATTTGGCCACTGAAAACTCGGTTCATAAGGCGTTGGAACGTTCGAGATGCATTAAACAGACCAAATGGCATTACTGCACACTCAAAATGTCCTTCATAAGTGAAAACTGACGTCGGTATTGAGTTCTCATCCAGTGGCACTTGATGGTACCCAATATGGAAGTCAAGTGTTAAAAACCACTTACTCTAACTGACTTGGTAAAGAATGTCCTCTATCAGTGGCAATAGGTAGACTTCAAACTTGGTTTGGCTGTTCAAAGCCCAATAATCTACACAGAGGATGTGACTTGTCCTTTCTCTTCACTAGGTCAATTGGTGCATTCCATTCAGAAGAACTGACCCGAATGTGGCCTTGCTCTTTCATAGCTTTGACCTCTGCTTACGCAGCAGGTCGTAGAGCATATGGGATGAACCTGGATGGAACATAAACTCGATCACTGTCACCTGATTTTAACTTGTGTTCAACAAGATTGTTTTTTCCTAACGGCTCTTCCTCAAGGTTGAATTCCTCTTGGAATTTTTGTACTATGGACTCTGCTGCTTTGTGTTGGTCCTTCTTCACAATCCAGCTGTCAGTGCCCAATGCTTTCAGAAGTTTCTGAAAGCGCTTCTCTTCCTTCATACACTGGTACACCCTGCACCATACAACATGGATTAATTTGAAGAGTTTGATCTATGGGATCCTCTTCTTCTACATCATCTGGTTTTACCTTAGTAAACACAGCATTTATGCTCATCATGGTAAGAACTTGTTGTTTTTCCCAGTGGTTGGTTGGTAATCGCCCCAACTGCTCCCTTCATCATCACTGATGGATACAGCCTTGGTTATGGTTCTCTTGTTATAAACCAACACCTGCCAATTCCTGCCTGTCCTTCACGGGACAGGCCCGTCCTAGCCCTTGTTCAAAAAAAGGGAGTTTTCGGAGATGCAGGCCTACCAAGAGTGTGACCAATACGAAGGTATATGATAAATAAAATACAAAATCTAATATAAACGAAAAGAACCGTGAAGAAGGCACCAAAGTAAAACAAGTTAATACGTAAAAAAGACAAGTCCAGAAGGGCTTAAGAATAAATAAAAATGCGCCAGAATGGGGAGCTGAAAGCATGCCAGAAGGGCTTAAAAACAATAAAAAGAATTAACATGTAAGATAAAACAAGTAAAAGGTAAAATGAGGGAAAAAGTAAAAGCTGAAATAAAAACTCAAGTAAAAGACGAGTAAAAGGTATGAGCATGAACAAAAGTAACAAGTAAAAGGACAAGATAAAAGTAAGTAAAATTCAAAGTAAGTAAAAATTAAAAGGCAAAGGAGCACAAATGATTCACAGTATATGTAGAATAGTAAAATATCATGTCCAGCATAAATACACCGGCAAGTAAAAGGGGGCAGTACAACCTTGTTTCGGTATCCAAGGTGTAAAATCTAGACATGTAAATCTAAAGGGTAGTCAAAACACAGTCAAGAGTATCCACTTCGTTTACTTAACAAGAATATGAGGGTTACATTAAAGAAAGGAAAAAAGAAAACGTAAAAGAATCTGTTGCGATTCATTAATAAAAAATCTTAAAAGAAGTTGCTTTCTCTCGCTGTAAAAGAGAGAAGGAAAGGATAAATATGTAAAAAGAAACCATTAGAGAATAAAGCGGAGCGTAAAATACATGAGATAAAAAACGTAAAAAAATGCAGTCGTAGCAGATGTGGATAACGAAGGATCTCAATAAAGGTTTCGTCTAAAAATGTACAAAAAGGTGTAAATAACCGTAAAATATATGTAAAAAATAGAGCCAGCGTAGTACAAAAATAAGCGTAAAAATGAGGCCTGCAGAGGGAAGTGGTCCGGCTGCCCTGTGGATTACGGCAGAATGCTGGGTAGAATAGGGATAGGATGGGAGTAGGAGAGGATAGTGTTAAAGGTACGCAAACGGGAAGAGGGATGGAAAAGAGGGAAATTAACATAGAAATAGAAGTGAAAAAGCAAAGGAACAAGAAGAGGGTGCGAATAAGAGAGGTACGAGGGGAAATGCGGCAGGATACAGGGCAGGATAGGGATAGGATGGAGGGGGGATTGTAGAGTGATAGAGATAAAAGGTAGGACAAGCAAGGAAAACGAGTAGAAGAGGAAGAAGCTTCCGTAGAAGTAGAGAGAGAAGAGAAAAAGTGAGGGGACAGGAAGAGGGTGCGAATAAGGACGAGAGGGATAGAAGGATCGGGGCAAGGAAGGGGGGGGGGTAGGTGAAGGGTATGTGGGGGTGGGGGAAGGAGGTTAAAAAACACACACTTTTGTTTATGATAGATCCTCCAGTACTTGAAATTTACATCCAGCTTGTGAGCCCTCATAAAAGCCGTCCCAATAAGCAGGTCACAGTTCCCTGGGAGATGGATTGCATGATCGTCGAACACAAAACAATGACCTATAAACTGCTTTCCTCCAATAATAAAAGTCATCTTGGCCAGCCCAAGTTCTTTAACCGGTTCTTCATCAAGAATACCACGTACTGTTACGCTATGGGGAACAAGTGGACAAGGTACATCTCGCTGTCTCGTAGAGACTTTTTTCTTCACTTCTTCATGTGCCTTGTATAGTGATATTTTAACAAAATTGGGTTTTACACCAGAATCCTACACGGCGACAACTTCTGTCATTCTGGGGTACAAAAACTTAAGTCATCATATATTCTGGAGGCGATGGTCCCAGCATGGAATGTTGTTTCCACCAGCTCTTGGTGTCCCCCTTCAACTACTCTGTTGTGGACGTCTTTGCTCCGTTTTTTACAGCCACCAGTTTCTCAACGTCCTTCAGCAGGGGGCACTCGCCTCGCCGATGCCCTTTCTTCTGATACAGGAAGCATATTATCCTTGATGGAGTGCTAGATGATTTTTTTTCCCTCTCTCTCTCTCTCTCTCTCTTCTCGGGTTCCTCTGTCGCTGGTACTGAAGAAGCTACGGCTGCCTTCAACTTAGAGCAGTCCTCCCTTCCATGTCTTGTTCCAGCCATGTTCTGGACAAAGGCATCGATGAGTTTCAGACGGTAATGGTTCCATTCTTCCGTTCCTTCAATCCGGCATTTAGCTACAGCTTTTCCGACCATATCGTGATATAGAGCGTCATTTACACGATCAAATTTTACCTTGTCAAATGGCCAATTTTGGTTCAGCATGTAGTCTAGTCTAAGAGTATTCGGTTTCTTGATCCAGTCCTTGTATGCCTCATATCCACATCTCTCAGCCTCTCGCAGGATGCAGTTCCAGCGTTTTTGCCGTACACTCTAGCGGTTCTTTTTTTCCGTATGGATGTACCCCAAGGCGAACAACGTCTTGTCAAGTTCACTCGTGATGTTACGCCTTCTAATCTCTGCTTCCACCCGGGTGAGCAATTCCCCACCAATGAGGCCATCATCCTCACCAGTAAACATGGGAATTCTCCTGTCCCTGGTGTACACCTCCATCGCATTAGACTGTCCCGTAGTCCTAGCTTGGGCTCGATTATCACGATTATCACGAATCTGCGACTCAACCAGCTGCTGCACTTGTGTAGCGAGGGCGGATAGTTGTTCCTCTAAATTCTGAAATCGCGTCTCCCTTTTGTGTCTTTCTGTCAAAACTGGGCTGGATCACTATTTTCCTCCACCGGTAACTCTACTACGTCGAGAAGTAGTTCAGCTTCTCGAAGAGTGAAGATGTATTCCTCTTCTTCGTACAACCCCTCTACAACATAACAGTTGTGTTCTGAGGAAATTATCGAACTTGACTTGATGCACTAAATCACACACATCATTTGTTTTGTTTTTTTCATTCTTTAGAATTCGTTGATTATTTAGATTCACGTTAGTGCAAAATTATTAAAAACACACAAAAACAAGAATATAACCAATCATAATCACTCAACAATCAGGAACATCAAACAACCTAAAGAGCAAAAAATAAGACACCCATAATCTATGGACGTGTCTCAATCCATATAATAAAAAGTTATATCCAGGGCCGGATGAAATTATGGGGCCCCCTCAGAATATTTTTTATTCGTGATATATTTTAGTGACATTTACATAGCTTGAAGTAAACTTATTGCAAATTCTTTAAATAAACTAG